TATATATATATGTTTTAGTGATATTCAATCCATGTTTGAATATCACTGTGTTCCATATATTCCTACACATAAAAATATCAACACACACCTACATGCTCCGGTGTTTAGCTGCTTTTATTGTTTGTTCGGTTCAATATCGTCCTTTAAAAACTTTCTAAACTGCTGTTGTCACTATAAAAAGTGTAATTTGTGCAACCAGCTTTTTAAGTTTTCTACCTGAAGGGAGCGGCTCGAGGGCTGATTATCTACTGAGCACGAGACATGCGTTAGGAAGTTCCTGCTTCTGCGCATGTGCGGAGAAGTGAAGGAGAAGAAGTCCCGCATACTTTTGGTTACGTACAGTACGAGGAAATATACTTTTAGAGTTTGTAAGGGACAAGATTGTTTGCGAGATTTGTCTGTAACTTACCCAGCCACTTGCAGATAAGGAATTCTCGTTACATCAGCGGCTGTGGTCCTAAATTAACTTCAGACGGTTTGTGAAGGTAAGTGCATTCTTGTGTACCGCAAAGTTTCTGGGTAACTTCCGTACGTGTTTTTCTAAATTAATTTATTAAAGCGCTTAATATTTTAAGCGGTTATTAGTCTGGTTAGTGTTAATAAATTACAACTTAAAACGTGTGTTCAGCTGTGTTTGGTCATGGTTAAAAAACCCCCCAAAACAACAAACTACCGAACAGCTGCTTGACTTACACTATTCCTGTTTATGCTGAGACAGTTTGAGACACGTCACAGAGCTATATGAAGATTTTTAAATTGATTATTTGCGGTAGACGAGAACAGTTAGCTTTGTCATGCTTCTCAAGTCCTGTTTGTTTCCTCATGACTTCGTCTATTTTAGCAGGAAAGGGCGTGTGTCTGTGGTTTTATTACTTGGAGAACCAGTACAATTAAACTGGCTTTGAGTACACAGAACTGCTCTGTCACTGACAGTATCTCATCTCTTTCTTCATACAAAAGCTCCTTTGGGCTCTAAAGCTGTACTCTCTTATAAACCGCGGTCGTAATTGATGTTGCACATCATTTGTGTCAAAAATAAACAGACGCTTCCCACAAACCAGACATCAAATGCATCTGATATCTGCCATATATCTATGTTTTGGATGTTTCCCTGCTTCAGCACACCTGACTTCAATTGATGGATGATTTGCAGTCTTCTGAATGAGTTGTGTTAAAGCAGGGAATCATCTCAAATATGCAGGTTAGTGCACCTTGGGGACCAGGGTGGGGGAGGAAAAAACAAAATAAACAAAAATAAATCAGCACTAACAAAATGTAATGCAAACAAAAATGCAACCATGGCTACTGCTTAGAAAAACAAAAACAAAAAAACAATATGGATTTGGACTGTTATCATGTTATGTATTCCCTATATTGACTATTTTATTGGAGAGCATTTTGAAGGCCTGCTAATATTTCTTGCTGTTTTCAAAATCAATATTCTACTATTTTTGCAATTCTAGCCCCTATTGTTACCATAAGGGGTAACAAGTTGGTCTCAGCTAAGTGTTTCTATTTGCTCTTCTAGAGCCTGTAGTTAGTTGCTTACACAGAGACGTAGCTTACCAACTAATTGCAAAATAGGAGTAATGGGTGGTGCTCCTTTAGTTTCAACACCATGATGGGGTTTTCCACTACTGGAAGTATTTCCAAATGGTTTAATTTGTCTTTGCTATGAGAGCAAGGGGAACTGAGCCTAGTTTCAGCCAGCTTAACCACAACCAGAGGAAACGCTGTGGTCACTTCAGCTCTTACTTTAAACCATAAGAATATTATGTTTTATAGATGTAGAGATGAATTTGTGATTCATCTCTTTTGTAAAATACAGGGATAATGACTGGCCAAAATGAAATAACCAAAAATGAGAATATCTACAGGTGGTAAGGTTGGAAGGTAGCTTTCATTGCAAGCAAAAGCCATATTAAAAGATTCACTGCTATGAAACATGCCAAGTAATGGCAAACACAAAGCAGTTTATCAAGTTGCTCAATATTGCCAAACATTTATTAACTATTTTTTTATGCACAAAGTTGATTGTTGCACTGACAGTGACATATATTTTATTAATTAGTTAGTAACTTCCTAAAGTGTTTAAAGAAAGATATACTACACCACGGTATTAAAATATAATTATTTGTTTTAGTTAATTTGGGTGGTATACAGTTTTCCTGATTCTCTGCCTTATTGGACGTGGTCAGATTATGTTTGAAAGTGTGTTTCTGTGATTCTCTACAGATTCTCCAGGCCTCGCCTCACTCCAGTGATGTCTGCTTTGTTGCCTATGGTGATCTCTAATTCTACACCTCATTTAAGCTGCTTCAGCTCCAACCAGACTGTTCTCTCAGGACTCGACTTTGGAGGAGTGCCAGTTGTCCTGCTGCTTAACTTCTGCGTTTTCATTGTATGTTTCCGTCGACCTGCCTCTTATGTAACCAAAATTGCTTTTAGCATTGAAAGGCTTATGACATCAGGACTTGCTCTGTATAACACCATTCAGTAAACTCAGTACATATTTCTTTTTGTTCTTACAAATGAGTTGATGTCTCTTTGTCTTGTTTTCTACACGGAAGTCATACTCACCCTAAATTTGCTCTTGTTTTGATACCAACAGTTTCTGCTGCTGGTCTTCTCATTTATCAGAAAGAAGTTCTGGGACTACGGTCGTTTAGCTCTGGTCGCGGACAGTGAAGGGTTGGTTAATACCTTGGCATGGATTTTTTTTTTTTTCTTTTTTTCTGTTGTTAAAACGAGGAGATGGTTTGGCAAATATACTGACAAGAATTTAAAAGTCTAGATTAAAATAAATTGTGGTTTTAGGATAAAAAAGCATTTTTACCAGGAAACTTTTGTGTGACAGGTTTAATGAATCAAAACATCGTCGTTATGGACGAATGCCGTCCACCACTGAGGACCCCGATTATGAGTCGGTATGCAACATCATAAAAAAAATTCTATCTCAAAATGCTGCCGTATTTAGTATTCTTTGTAATACAGTATTTCTGCTCCTGTACAGGGATTCTGCTCTTGGCTGCCATTCATCGTCAGAATGGAGTGAGTCTTATTGAGCTTTCTTCATTTTCTTCTGTGTCTTTATTTAACTTTAACGTGTTTTATTGCATGTTGCTGATTACCTTGTGTTTCAGTGAGGAAAAAATTAAAGAGAAATGTGGCATGGATGCTGTTCACTACCTCTCCTTCCAGCGACATTTGATCATCCTGCTAGTGATCATCACTGTCACCTCCCTGGCAATCATTCTGCCTGTGAATATGTCTGGAAACCTTTTCAGTAGGTTTAACACCGAGTATTGCACCCCATCTGACAAAGACTCCATTTCTTAAAAGTTAGAGTTCAGCATCTTCTCAAGTGTTCAGTAATGCTTACTTCAACTAAGCAGAACAGAAAAACAGGAAGCAATAAAACACAATCACATGTACAGAAGTAATCTTGTTCCTTTGTTGTTGTTTTTTTTAACCTTTAAAAACACGGAAACGAGCCGTCAGTAATGGTTCAGTTCATAACGATGAATAATTTGAGACAATTTTCAGTAGCTTACTTTTGCTCTTTTTATTTAAGAAAATTGGCTTTTGTATCCAAGAAGTAATAGCCGCCTGCAGAAGGCTGCTTTTAGCATTTTTGTTTTGATCAGTGATCATAATCTGTCAAATTTGATAAAAGTCTGTTTGCTTACATGGTTTCATAACAACATGTAAATGTAATATGAGCTCCAGAAAGTAATATACAAGTAAATTATAAGTGAGGTTTGAACAGTTTCATGATTATATATTCTAATCTTCTCTTGTAAGTTCAGAAAATGTTTAACCACAAAGAGAAATAAACTTTAAGTTTGACTGGGTACAAAAGGAAACTAGGTTTGCTTTAAAGCCCAATGGCAAAAGGCATAAAATAACGGAAGCCAGTGTTGTGGTGTATGTAAGATACACCACAACACAACATCAAACCTAAAAGCGAACAGAAAATAAATCTGGGGCCGAGAACACGTCCCAACCACATCCACAGCAATATGGGCGATTTTTCAATATTTCCAGTAAAACTAAATAGTTGGCAACACAAAATAATGTCAGGAAATAAATAAAATGCACGGCGTAAGGGGAAAATCAAAATGTTCTTTTATAACTGGGCGAAGATGTTCACACGCTCAAAATATTTGTATAGTGTCTCTGTTGCTTGACAAAATAATACTATGACTTCATTCTTCTAGGAGATGATCCCCATAGTTTTGGAAGGACAACTATTGGAAATCTTTCCATTCAGTAAGTATGATTTAAAGATTTATGAGCTCTGGTAATTAGCATGCAGTGCTGCTGTCATAAATCTTAATGGTACCTACCATTTGTTACACCAGAAACAACTTCTTATGGCTTCACACTGTGTTTGCGGTTATCTACCTGTCCCTGACGGTAGTGATGCTGCGATTACACACGTCCAAAATGAAAGGCATGCGCAGAGAAAGAGTGAGTCTATTTAATAGTTGCACAAAGCAATTGATATGAGATATATATATATATATATATATATATATATATAATTCACCTTTCATCTCATTTTCTGTAGGCCAGAAACACCCTGTTTGTGTGTTCGATACCTAAAAGAGCAACAGATGAGCAAGTAAAAACTCACTTCACGTACGTAAAATGACTTTGACTTGACTTTTTGTTTTGAAGCAACCATATCACTAGTTAGGATCTATTGCGTTGCTCATCTGCTGTTGTATTTGTCCTCAGGGAGGCATATCCTTCTTGCCAGGTGTGTGCAGTGACATTGGGGTACAACGTGGCCAAACTCATGTACCTTGATAAGGAAAGGTAAGATCTTAGAGGTAGCTGATTTTCTTTTCTGTACTTTTAATACTCTAGACTGTAATTTTATTTATTAATACATTTGAAATGAAGGCTGAAAGATGTCGTCATGTCTCCACGGTATTCTCATCGTTTGAAGTAAACCTCGGGAACTTGCATTCTAATGCAACACAGTTTATTTTGTCCAAAGGACAAGTTTTTATGTCCATCATGAGTGGAATATTAACATTTACTGCTCTGTGACTGCTAGAGATGCAACTACATGCTTAAACATCATCGGTCAAAAGGGAGTGGCTCTGTTTAGAAGAAATTAAATATATTTCAAACACAGTCTTCATGCAAAGTAGTTAAGCATGAATGCTAGTTTAGCTTTACTTTTAGGTGAGCACCCTTTGTCTGTGTTTATGTTTTTTGTTATTCCCACTCAGAGTTCGAGCTGGGACAAACCTGCAGTATTACGAGCGTATCCTGGACAAAACAGGAGTGCGAGAGCTGATCACCCCTCGTGTATGTGGCCACTTCTGCTGCTGCTCCGGCTGTGAAAAGGTGAGATTAATCCTTTAATCAAGGCGTTCTTTATGTCACAGAGTTTTCTTCATCCACAGCAGCGATCAAACTACTGCTAGATCAGGCAGTATCCCAAAACCTAAACCTCAGTACAGGCATGCCTCTTTAAAAACAATGCAGTTTTAAATTACAGTTAAATAACACATTATACTTCATCACTAAGGAAGTATAATGCAAAGGAAAGTAGAAAAAAATATATATTTTATATATTTTAGAAAAAAATATATATTTTTTTCTGCATTTATCCAGACCCTGGACATTTTCAAAATGTTTTACTTCAACACATTTGAAAATGTGTTGAAGTAACCCTATTCTTACTTGAGTACATTTCTGACTACTCTACCCCCTCTGCCTATGTTCAATTCCTTACCATTTAATTGATGCCATGAATGAACCCAATCCTTTCTGTGCAGAAGTTTGCTCACTGTTGCATTCTACATATTTCGAAGAAATCTTCATTGTCACAATAGAAAGCGCAAAGTCAGGGAGGAGACATTAGACCAGAGGCCAGCAGCAGGGATGATGATACAGGGACTGATCAGGTAAGAAGAGATTACAACTTGCTGAGAAAAAGACATGTGTTTCAGGGAGAATGCAGGCAGGTGTCAGGACAAGGTTTTTACTGATATTACACTCTCACTCACACTTTAAAATAGTTTTTTGCCTGTATAGCTTTCATAG